GGGGGGATCACTCCCGCTGTGCTATTGTATTCTCACAGTGGGGAGCCTTCTCCACCATCAGAACATACTAATCAGTGTTTCCCATTTTTCCCTTTTCCCCTCGTTTGGGAAAAACCTGATAGGATGGTTGTACAGAAGTCAATGGATAGATCGACTTCTGTACAGCTAGGGTGCCCATACAGTGCCCTTTTAAGAGTGACTTAATGTGGGGAAGCGTGCTTCTTGATCATGCGTCAACAGTTGTCACATGACTAGAAGCTTCAGATCGTAAACAACAAGCGGTCTGTAACAACTCTTAGATTGAAGTTCTAATGATCAGGGCCCTCTGTTTCCTCTTGTACCAAATTGTATTGTAACTGTAATGTCTGCCTTCATTTTGTAAAGCTCTGCACAAACTGTTGGCGCTATATAAATCCTGTATAGTAACAATAGTAACTCTGTTACTTTTACGAACATTAAGCTTGGATTCTACTTTAACTGCTTGTGAAGGTGCTAAGACTTGAGCTGCAGTCACAGTCTTGGCCACAGGATGGTCATGTAAATTGACATTTGATTATTCTATGGCAATGGTTTGCAAACTGTGGCCAGGGGGCCAGATGAGACCCTTTGCTTGCCTTTACTTAGCCCTTAGGGCATTTTCCTCCCACTGACACAAAAATGAGCCACTATTCCTTCCACTGACATCAGTGATGAAGCACCAATCCTCTCACTGATGCCAATGATGAAGCTCTATTCCCCCCATAGATACCAATAATGGGGCACTATTTCTCTCCTAAAACTAAACATGGGGCACTATTCCTCCCACTGATGCCAGGACATTTTCTACTCTCTTTGGCCACAGTCCGGCCCCCCTAAGGTCTGAAGAACAGTAAACTGGCCCTTTATTTAGAAAGTTTGGAGACTCCTGTTCTATGGTCTCAGCTGGAGGAAATGTAAACATAACCTGGAGGATTGTGCAGGGATGGTGAACCTTTAAGAGACAAAGTGCCCAAACTGCAGCCCAAAACCCACTTATTTATTCGCAAATTGCCAACACTGCTATTAAACCTGAATAATGAGGTTTTAGTTTAGAAAAAAACAACCCATACATTAACATCTTTTGTCTTTAAAAGAAAAACACAAAAATAGAGCTTCCACTGACCACCAGCACAAGGGGGCAAAGTTCCACTGACCGCCAGCAGAAGGGGGCAAAGTTCCACTGACCGCCAGCAGAAGGGGGCAAAGTTCCACTGGCCGCCAGCAGAAGGGGGCAAAGTTCCACTGGCCGCCAGCAGAAGGGGGCAAAGTTCCACTGGCCGCCAGCAGAAGGGGGCAAAGTTCCACTGGCCGCCAGCAGAAGGGGGCAAAGTTCCACTGGCCGCCAGCACAAGGGGGCAAAGTTCCACTGGCCGCCAGCACAAGGGGGCAAAGTTCCACTGGCCGCCAGCACAAGGGGGCAACGTTCCACTGGCCGCCAGCACAAGGGGGCAACGTTCCACTGGCCGCCAGCACAAGGGGGCAACGTTCCACTGGCCGCCAGCACAAGCTAAAATCTTGTGTTAATAAAAACGGATGCATTAAAAGTCACAGCCAGCTCAATAAATATATCCTTGGCAGCGCACTGACCGGCCATGCGAAAGCTCAGATGAGTCGCGGCTAATGAGTTGCATCTCATGACATCATTGCCTGGCGCCACTACTCCTTTCCAAGCATGCGCATGGCCCCTATGTGCACTATTATCTGATGCTTGGCTGCTGGGGCGACTTGACTCACGTGCCGACAGAGAGGGCTGCACGTGCCCGCTGCGGGTTGCATACTATAGGTTTATCACCACTGACAGTGCAACATGTAGCAAACCTTCAAAAGTTTTACAAGTAACTTCTCCTGAAAACTGTTATTTTCCTAGACTAGTAAAGGGATCTACTTTGCTGTCTCAGCACCTTTTCAGCACAGTTATTTAGCTTAGTATTCATACATGTCCTCTCTTGTGTTGTCTGTACTTGGAGCAGGGACACTACAGTTTAGGAAAACTTAGCAATGCATTACCTCATATATAAAAGTTTTCAAAAATTCTAGCTTGGAATGTGTAAATAGACACAGTTAGTATTTGCTAACTTCAGAAGCGGTTGGGGTCAGTGCTCTTTAAAGTGTGTTTTCTCTCTTAGTAAATTGACCTAAGTAACTGGTTTATTTTTAAAACTGCATCAAACTTCTCCAGATATTTTTTCAAGATGGTTATTCTTTGTTCAGAAGGTTATACATTTAAAGCAATAAAAAAAAAAAACTCCAGGGGAACCTTTTGGGCTTTAAAGCTAAACTCCAGGCAATACCTAGAGGTAAGAGAGCCCCATTGCAAGCGCTTAATTTGTTCTTTCTAGAGCAGTGTTTCTCAACCTTGAGGCATCCTTTTAAAATTATGGACAGTCTCAAGGCACCCCATTCTAAAATGGAAAAAAAAATTCTAAAAGTTTTACCTACTGCAGTAACCCCCACACATGTAGGACACCCAATGTTAGAGGGAATTTATTCTTCCAATGCAAATACACTTTTGCACACTGGTATTGAATAGTATTCCAAGGTTTCTCTTCTTCAATTTCTCTCTATCACTCAGCTAATTTGCCCTCATTACTGACATAGTGGGGTAGGAGAGGGTCAAACAAGGATGCCATGTAGGTGACCAACATCCGCCATTTCAACTGATGGCGTCATTGGTTGTCAGGACTCCGGCGGCTAGAATGTCGTGAGAGGGGAGAGACCTGTGTGTAAACAATACAGGTCTCCCTTCTGTTAGCATGGGCATGCTGCTTTGTGTGTCTCTGCACAGCAGAGAGATACAAAGCAGCATGTCTCCCTAGTAAAACAGCACAAAATGTGTAATACACACAGCACATTAACCCTTTGATTGCCCCAGATGTTAACCCCTTCCTGCCCAGTGTCAGTGCTTTTTTATTAGCACCGATCACTGTATTCGTGTGTCACTGGGGATGTCTGTGGCAGTTAGTCATTTTCCACCCCGTGTCACAATGCCCGCCGCAGTCCCACTATAAGTCACTGATCGCTGCCATTACTAGTATAAAAAAAAAATAAAAAAATTACAGTATCTCACAGAAGTGAGTACACCTCTCACATTTTTGTAAATATTTTAAGTACAATACAATTCATTAAAATATTTGAAAAACCGATGTGCAAAATACCATGTGACACAAAATATTGCAACACCCACCATTCTATTTTCTAGGGCCTCTTGCAAAAAATAAAAAAAAAAAAAAAAAAAAATATAATATATATATATATATATATATATATATATATATATATATATATATATATATATATGTAATTTTCTAGCAAAAAAAAACCCCTGTTTTTTACAAGTAGGAGAGAAATGTCAGAATTGGCCTGTTAGGGAAATGGTTAACCTCTTTTCCTTTTTTTTTTTTTTTTTGGCCTCTTAACTAGCCACCACTTCCATCAAGGGCTTTGTTTTATATTTAAGAGTCGTGTATGAGAACTAAGTTAGAATATGAAGTATACAAATCAAGGAGTACAACAAAAAACTTGCTGTACAATTGAGAAGAGATAAAAACACAGGGAAAGTGTTACTCTAGCCAAAACATTTATTTTTGGGATAGAATGGGTCAGAGTTAGAACCCCAGTCAGTCTTTTTCTTTTACTGCTCTTTAAAGTCACATTAGGAAGACTTGCTTTCACCTTCTATTCTGGCGACCCAAGCCAAGATAGCGAATAGGGAAACTATGCAATGGGGGGCAGAGACAATAGTAAAACACTGTTCTGTTTATCAGAGAATACAGGTGACTTCCATAATTCCTAACACTTTTTTTATTTTGTGAATGTGACAAAAATTTGTGTAATTAGACTCATCAGTCAATCAAGTCAAAGGACTTTTTTTTTTTTTTTTAAATCCAGGGGCCCATTAGGCCTAGATGAATCTTGCTTTTTTGAAAGTTCCCTTGTGTTGTAATTGTACAGCTGTGTCAACAGTTATTTTTCACCTGCCCTCTTTTCCTGTTCAATATATTATTTTATCTGTTTACAAGTGAAAACAAAATATCCACACATCCATATGTAACAATAGAAGGACATAGTCCATTACAACAAGCTAGTATAGATATACTGTATATGCAAACAGCATTTGTAACGGAGAGGTTTAGGTAGCTATAGAGACTCAGAAGTCCACATAGAACTATTTACAGACCTTTTATTTTGACAATGGACACATTATATCCTGTATTTATCATCTAGTGACAAGGGCACAATAGGGTAGCTTTGCCTAAAGTTGTAATAAATGCCAAACCAAAAGTGTAATTTATTGCAACTTGCCAATCGTTAGATGTTGTGGCTGTGTTAGTTTATTTCTTTTTAGGCTTTTTTCCCCTCTGTTTTCACCTGGTGATCTAGCCAGTAACGCACCTCTTGTATTAGGAGTACAGGGGGCACCTTTGGAGGACAACCACATTCTCACTTTGGGGGGGAAGGGAAAATTAGATGGATTAGCAGATTTAGATTAACACTAATGGATTAAAGAAGTTACAGTAACAGTTTTTTTTTTTTTCCTTTTGGGACAAAGGTTTTACATAAATAAAAGCTGATTATTGTAAGCACTAAGTGATAAATGGTTTGTCTCATCCCTGTAACTGATACATTCTGTTGGAGAGCTTGTTCTGTTGGAAAACAACATATTTACTGGCTTGATCACCAGGGGAAAATAACAGAAAACGAATTCAAACATTACATCTAAAGATTAGTAAGCTACAACATCATAAATGCTTGCTTTTGGGTTTATTACTGCTTTAAAAAGAACAGGATTCAGGTTAGGGTGGAGGTAGCAAAACAGAAGGAGAGTATATTATGGTGGGAGTTATGTCTATGGCCAGCTTGATGGTATGAAGCTTGATGTTGAATGGTTGATTGCAGGAAAGTGCGTCACAAAATTTAGCGAGTCTGTCGGTCATCTTCTGATTTTTTTTTTGTTTGTATTTTTACAGCATTTACTTTGCAGCATGGCGCGTCGCCCACGCAACAGCCGTGCCTGGCGATTTGTGCTGAGCGGAGTTCGCAGAGACCAGGAGACCCGAGCCCCAGTCCTGCCAGCAGGAGAAGAGACTCGGGGCTATGACTCTGATGGACAGGTATGGTTTGTATCATAGTGGCCCTTCCGGTTCAGATGGGGAGACTAAATTGTTAAAGTGATTGTAGTCCATAAAACTGCAAGCAGGAAGTTTGTATTGCAGAAGAGACTTACTATTCCTTTTCTGATTCACTGATTTTGGCTATGACCTGTACAGCATTTAACTAACTCTTGGTGATTTTTGCCAGCTTTGAGGCCTCATGATTACTCACTATGCTTTAGTATAGGTTCACACCTAAGCATTTTCTGCAGCATTTTGCAGAAAGTACAGTCTATTTAACACGATTTCCTATGGGACATGTCTACATCTCTTTTTGAACGCAAAAAGTTGCGTTTTTTTTTCTATAGACTTCAACAGGAACATTGCAGAAAGCATGTAGTGCATTTTTGATGCATTTTTGCCACATTTTTGATTCATTTTGACGTGCTTTGCATTTTTAATCTGCCTAGCAACAAGAAAAAAAAAAAAAAAAAACCCCAAAAAACCCCAAAACGCTGCAAAAAGGCGTGAACCAGCACTAATGCTAAACGTTTTTTGGAGACTCAGACTGTTTGTCAAGCCAGCTCAGTGCGCTTTTTTGGCATGCCTTGGTACTGGAATGAATTAACTCCCATGTGCCTGCGCAGGAGTTATGTCATCTTGGGCTGGGCAATCTAGATGTCAAACCCAGCAAATGATGCAGAGGAGGATTTCGGATGCAGATTCGCAGGAGAGCTGCAGGGGTGGGAACATGTTACATGTCTCACTTTAAAAACATGTGGAATATGTAACATGTTCCCGAAGGTGAACTTCTCCTTTAAAACAGTGTACCCTGTGAGTACCTAACATGTTATGTTGGCCATTAGAAAGGTAGGGAGGTTAATTGATCTTGATTAAAATACAGAGCTCTATCTGGTGGTCTCTCCACAAATCTCTCAATTAGTAAAATTACATATAGAGAAATTATTTTGCAGTTCAGATTGGTAGGAAGGCAGATAACATTGGGAGTTCAGTTCAGCTCATGAATATAAAAGGACAGGAGATTTCTGACAGGATTAACCAGTATTTTGCTGCACTTGCAGAAAATGTTCTTAGCCTGGAAACAGGAAAAAAGGTAGCATCCACATCTAAGGACTGATGAGCTGCTGTGTATTACATTTTTGTCCTTGGGTTTAGATTTACTCTGAGGGATATTAACAGCTGTGCTGTTAGAAACTGTAGAAAAACATTTATTTTAGACTCCAATTCTTCAAGTGTGTGCCTCAGTATAGCTTTTTTTTTGGCAGTAACGCCCATGTCAGACTAGTGATCCTGCCCTGTGAGTGGTATATTTGCTCTCCTAGCACTCCTTTGGCAGGCGAGTTGCCTCCAGTGACAGGATGGCAGGGGTGTCATGGTCCTAAGCTATTCAACATCTTGTACACAGTCTAAATTAAAATGTCACCTTTAACATCAAAACTAAAAATCCTCTTGATTCCTCATTTTCCACAGCACAGTAACAGTGACTCCGAGGTTGAATTGCTGCATTTGCCAGCCTCCATTCCCAGCGCCGTGCCTGTGACAGGCGAGTCTTATTGTAGTTGTGACAGCCAGAAAGATGCCTATTGCTCCAGCCTGTACGCCTTCCACCAGATCAAGAGCTGCCAGTGTGGAGAGGAAGATGACTGTAAGACCGAGCACTGACTATTGATATTTAAAGCAAATGGTTGCCTGTTGCTAACTTTCTGTTCTTTCTGTTCTTCTTCTGTCGTCTTGCAGACTTTGACTGGGTGTGGGATGATGGGAGTAAATCCACAGCCACTGTGCTGAGCTGCGACAATCGCAAAGTGAGCTTCCACATGGAGTACAGCTGTGGTACAGCTGCCATTCGGGGCACTAAGATGCTTACTGAGGGACAGCATTTTTGGGAGATCAAGATGACATCACCGGTATATGGCACAGACATGGTATGTTCCTGTCATTGATGGATGCAGAGTTCTTTACATTGCTTCATAAAATAACTTAGAGGCAGCTTCTGCATAGTGCTGTGGGAACCCTGGGTTACTTGTTTATATGGGCAGCACAGTGGCTAAATGGTTAGCACTTCTACCTGGCAGTACTAGGGTCGTTGGTTCGAATCCCAACCACGGCACCACCTGCCTGGAGTTTGCATGTTCTCCCTGTGCCTGCGTGGGTTTCCTCCGGGTACTCCGGTTTCCTCCCACACTACAAAGACATGCTAGTAGGTGAATTGGATCCTATATAAATTGGCTCTAGTATGTGTATGTATGAATGTGAGTTAGGGACCTTAGATTGTACACCCCTTGAGGGTTAGGGACTGATGTGCATGTCAATATATATGTAAAGCGCTGCATAAAATTGACAGCGCTATATAAGTACCTGAAATAAATAAATATGTAAAACAAAGACTGTATGCTCTTTTGGGCAGTAGGCCTACATCGGGGGCAGAATGGTTAGAAGCAGAGATAGAGATGTAGATACTGATGAATTTTCAACTGCCAGGGCTTGGCACCTGTAGATGTAATAGCCTAAGCAGATGTATCCAGCTGGAGGTTATGTGTGTGCATTGTTCTTTTACCCAGCAAAGCATTTGCAATACATGCTACTTGTTACCTCTTTCATTTTTTGTTAGTGTTCTGAAAATCTCTTTTTATTGTGTTCAGATGGTTGGCATTGGAACATCAGATGTGAACCTGGACAAATATCGTCACACATTTTGCAGTCTTCTAGGAAAAGATGCAGAGAGTTGGGGGCTATCATACACAGGTAAGACCGAAGTAGATAGTCCCTCCTGACTGCCTGCTGATGATATTTGCAGTACAATCCAGCATCAGGACTTCCCAGCAGCTGGATTTATTTTCCTAGTGTGCCAGATATTTGTTTAGTTATTAGATTTTACATTCACAGTGTGAACCTGGCAGCAAGAACCACTTATGGGTCTTGTAATAAGTGTTTTTTTTTTTTTTTTTTCTCATTCTTCCATTTAATTCTGCTTTAATTGAAGAGATACTGTAATCTTGCCAATCTGTATACAGGGGCTCACCCTTCATGACCCATTTATCTTCTTTACCAGTGCCCTTTTATTGTCCCCTCCTTTCTTGTAGTTGGCACTAAAATCATCAGTGTCAGCAACCAGGAGGAGCAGGTCTATTACCCCCTTGGTCTTGTTACAGTTCTGGGTGCCTAGTGTTTGGCTGCTGGTTTCAAACACTATCACAAAGGAGGAGATCACATGCTTTCCATACATACCTGGAAGTTCAGGGACACAAGAGCAACATTGAAAAAGGGTATGGTGAGTTTAACTGTGTCAGGAGGTCCTTTTGTAGAGACAGTGTCACTTTGCCTTTTATGTTTGACATTAAAGTGGTTTTTAAACCCAAAAGCAAACCTTTATTATGTTGCAGCTTACCCATTCATAGATGTGTTGGATGCATTTGTTTTCTTTTTAGGCTTTCTTTTTTCTATTTCATCTGTTGATCCAACCAGTAAGTCTGTTGTTTTTTTCAAAAGGACAAGCTATCTAGCAGAATGTACCAGTTACAGAAATGAGACAAACCATTTACCCCGGGCAGGGGTGCTTACAATGATCAGCTTTTATGTGTGTATTTAAAAACTTTATCCCAAAAGGAAAAAACTGTTTCTGTAACTGCTTATAAAGTATTAGCTGGAGTATGGCTTACATTTGTTAGTGTATTTAAATCTCCTAGAGCAGGGGTAGGCAACCTGCGGCTCACTAGCTGTTGTGGAACTACATTTCCCATGAGGAATTGCAACATTACAAAACTGACAATTACAGCTATGACTTGCAGAGGCATGATGGAACTTGTAGTCCTGCAACAGCTGGAGAGCCGCAGGTTGCCCACCCCTGTCCTAGAGCATCTAACATCCCTTCCCCCTAGACTAACATGCTGCTGTCCAAAGGTGCACTCTGTGCTCTTTCATCCAGAGTGGGGGTACTCTAATACAGATGTTACTGGCCAGATCGCCAGACCGCCTGAGGGGCGGTTCACAGCACATGCAGTCTAGTGCATTTTTTTTTTTTTTTTTTTCTGCATCAAAAACGTATGGATAGTAGGTTATATGGCAGTGGTCACTAAAATGGTGAACTGCGGTCACTAAATGGTTAACCGAGATGGCTGTGCTAGGAAATTCTCTCCTGAAGATGTCAAATTTTTCTATTTAGTTCAAAGGCAAATTAATACAACATACTTTTTGGCAGGAGTAGGCAACCTTTGAGAGGTGGAGATGTATCTGAACAATGTGAAAGAGTGCAAAGATCACTGGGGTTCATTGACATTTTTTTTTAAAAGAAATTAACTAGCAGGGCCTAACAAAATAGTAAGGAAAACAAAAAATATAATAAAACAAATGTCACTGTAAAAATACAAACTTAGCCTACCTTTAAAATAGATGGTGTCGGTCAGTAGGGCAGTAGGCGGTGTCGGTCAGTAGGGCAGTGGGTGGTGTCAGTAGTTTTATTTTTTACAATTATTTATTTTTTAGGTGCCCTGTTGAAAGGGGAGCACATGGCCGGGCAGCAGAAAAAAAGAGAAACAATGACAGGAAGAAGCATTTACTAGAACTGCTCCCCTGGATTTTCCTTCTGCAGCAGCTGTACGCTGGTGGGAGGGAGAAGAAATGGTTTCTTTCAGCTGGTGCAGGAGGAAAATAAAGGTGATAGTTGGTAGACAAGTATTTTAAACATCTGAATTCCCAGAAAGTGGCTCCCCCTATCCTGGCACCCTAAGGCAGCTACCTAAGCAGCCTTATGCTGGGTGCCAGCATGAGGCTGCTTAGGCAGCTACGTTAGGGGGCCAGGGCAGGGAGAGCGGTAAAATCCAAATCCCAAGCCACTTGCTGGGAATTCAGATTTTTAAAATACTTGTCCATGGGAGTGTAGGGGGAAGGAGAAAACAATGCTGGGGGGGGGAAGAAAGAGGGGCCGGGGGTCACTGCTATGAAGGAAAGGGGGGGGGGGACAGAGGACATTACTGTGAGGGGGGAAGAAGGGCAGTAGAGGACACGGCTATGGGGCTATGTCCTCTGCCTCCCTCCCACCCTTCCTTCCATGGTAGTGTTCCATAGCAGTGTACTCTGCTTCTTTAACATCACCCCCCACATATAAGCAGTATATCCTACCTGTGTACACAGAGGAGAGTGGAAGGCTACACAGTTCAGGACGGAGAGCGGGAGCTGCCAGATTGACTTTTCATATTAATAAACTAGTGATTGGTTGCTAAGTCTGCTCTAGCAACCAATCACCTGCAGGTTAATTTGGCCAGCTCCTCCTCCCACCCTCCATCCTGAGCTGCGTTGCCTCCCGCTCTCTGCTGTGAACTGAGAATGACAGCAATGGAGGAGGCTGGAGGGAGAGAGAAGGACCGGCGGCTAAAAGATGAAGGGTCAGCGGTGCAGGGACCTGTTTGCGCTCTACCTGTCACCTGCCTGCGGTTGACTGGTAGACCATGATCAACAGGTTGCTGGTCCCTGCTTTATGGGAATGAAATCCACTGCAAATAAGAATTTTAAATTCTGTTTTTTTTTGGGGGGCTTTTTTTTTAACCAACATTTTTAAGCTAGCGAGAGAATCTTTTTAAAGTGGAACTTTAGTCAGACAATTAGGTCCTGCTAAATGACCATAGACTGGCCCCTTTGCAGGTATAGCTAGGTAAAACATTAAAAATAAGTGCCTATATTGTACAAAATCTAGTAATACACTGTCTCACTGTGTTTTGCATATGCTCAGTAGCTCTCTATTTTTTGGCACTGTGCCGACAAGGTACAGGCTGATCTGCTGACAGCCTAAAGATTTACCGCTGCTCAGCAAGAAGAAACAGGAACTATGTTGGAGGCAATTTACAGCGTCCAAAATTATTAATGTAGAATATATGTTCCTTGCTAAACAACATTATTTTTTATAAAGTTGTTATGGGTAAAGTTCTACTTTAAAGTCTATAAAGTAAAAAAAAAAAACCTGACAAACAGGACTGAGATGATCCTATGCGTCCTCGTTTTTAGTAGAGCAGAGTTTGCCGAACTGTCTGTCTGCAGTAATTTGAATAGACAGAATCTCACTAATTTCCCAGACTGAATTATTATGTTCTTTGTCTCTCAGGATTACTTCAGCACAAGGGTGACAAAAGCAACTTCTCCTCACGCTTTGGCCAGGGGTCAATCATTGGCGTGCACCTGGACACATGGCACGGGGTGCTGACCTTCTACAAGAACCGCAAATGCATTGGTGGGAATATATAAAGAAGTGTTCATTTTTATTTTGATCTAGACTGAAAAAAAATAAAATTGTATCTGTCTTTTAGTAAGATAAATATCAAATGCTGAATGTAAATATTTTGTGTTCCCAACCAACAGGTGGAGCTATAGGCTTTTTTCATGGATTTAACTGTATAATCCTAACTACTTTGCTGGAAAAGAAAAACTTGTTTACAAAGCTCAATAGTTCAAGCTTTTCACACACAAATGAATGAGTCAGAATTTTGGGTACACTCTCTATTTTAATGTTTGTAAAACAAAGATTGTAATTAGCTAGTGGAAAAAAAGAATATTAAAGATCATTTTAAAAACCTATACATATAATAGATTTAACATTTGAATACAATTGAAATTGTAAATGTAGTTTCTTTTGATGTTTAGAAAGCTAAGTGTTGCCTTGCCTGTGCTCGTTCCTCATATCTTCCACTGAAATCAGATGTCAGTGACCCGGGGAGCAGTGACTCTGTTCCCACGGTCATGTGGCAGTACTCGTGCCAAGTGATTAGCTGCTAGGCCTGAGCACAGTCACGGAGGAGAAGCTCACAGGCACTGTAATACCTGGAAGTACAGCTGTGGAGGAGGAGATGACTGTAGGGGTGCAGGTAAGGGGGATGGGGAATCTTTTTGCAGAGATGCTGTGGCTTTGTCCTGCATGGGCGAAGTGATAGTGTTACTTAATCGCTTCCCGTCCACACTATAGCAGCAATACTTCTACGGGGTGGCATGGGTTGCGCAAAATCACGTGTGTGTATATATACGTGATTTTGCATTTCTGGGTAGGGGGGGCGCACTCCCTACCTGCGCCGCTATTCGTGGCCTTGGCTGTCAATCACCAGGTACCGGCTGGTGATTACTCACCAGCACCCAGTGATCGAGGAACATTACCGACTAAGGGAGAGAACTGTATGTAAACAATACAGTTCTCTCCCCTGTCAGCTCCTGCACACTGCTTTGCATGGCTGTGCATAGCAGAGCCTTGCAAAGCAGTGTGCTTACAGTGAAGCCCAGACACACAGCCCACTATGTAAAACAGCACAAAGTTAATCCTATGATCACCCAAGATGTTAACCTCTTTCTGCCCAGTGCCATTAGTACAGTGTCAGTGCTTTATAGTATCACTGATCACTGTATTGGTGTCACTGGGGATGTTAGTGACACCAAGTCAGTTCCCTCCAGTGCCAGAATGTCTGCCGCAGTCCCGCTGTAAGTCAATGATCGCCGCCATTACTAGTAAAAATTAGAAGAAAAAAAATCCAGTATAATATACCTCCATTTGTAAATGCTATAACTTTTCATGTAAACCAAGTTACATGTATTGGAATTTTTTTTTTTTTTAGAAAAGACATGTCGCAGAATGCATTTTGGCCTAAATTTATGACGAAATTTGATTTTTTTTCAATTTTTTTTTACTGGACATGTTTAATAGCAAAAAGTCAAAAATATTGTGTTTTTTTGTTTTTTCTCAAAATTCGTCAGTCTTTTTTTTTTTTCTCTTATAGTTCAAAAAATTAAAATTCACGATCAAATACCAAAAGAAAGCTCTATTTATGGGAAAAAATGGATGTACATTTCATTTGGGTGCAGCGTTGCATGACCGCGCGATTGTCAGTTAAAGTAACGCACTGCTGTAACGCAAACAATTACCTAGTCAGGAAAGGGGGGGAAATCCTCTGGAGAGCAAGGGTTTAAGTGTTTTAAAAGTCAGTTCTATATAATGACTTTTCTGCTTGTGGCTGAATAATTAATAACATAGACAACAGACTCTATTTTTTATGAGGACACCTTTCTAATATGTTTCTTTTGCCTCCTAGGCGTAGCAGCAACACAGTTGAGGAACAAGAAGCTGTTTCCAATGGTCTGCTCTACAGCTGCAAAAGAGCAGCATGAAGGTCATTTCGGTCATGCTGCTGCCGCACATCCCTCCAGTACCTATGCTGCGCCCGCATACGGCAGCTGCTCCCTGACAACATAGACTCTCTGGAGGCCTTGCCCCTCCCTCCTGGGCTCAAACAAGTCCTAAGCAACAAGCTGGGCTGGGTCCTACAGATGGGCATCAATCCCAGCCGACAGCGCAAAAACGACACCACAGCTAGCACCTCCAGCGGAAGTGACTCTGACAGCAGCTGCCCACCAGAGCTGGAGGACTGTCAGCGGAAACGCTGCCGCAGGATTTAAATGCTGGTGGAGTGAAGGGTGCAGCGTGGAGCCCTTTCACCACCATTTGCTGTAACATCCACTGTGAACTCTTCAAAGGATCAAGAAAGGAGACCTCTTATGGCAAAGAAAAGGAAGATTTGACCTTAAGAGACCAGGGCAATCAGGAGACTCGTACTGATCATCTTATTATTTTATGAAGATAACATTTGAAAAAAAAAAAAAAAAAAAAAGGATGTTGGTGCTAGAGACTGCTAGGTTCAATTTAGGCCTGGTTTTGGTTTGGTGCAGTTCAGACCTTGAGCCTTTTGTAGGGCAAATGGTTTGACATCTGACCTTTAAGTGACGATCATGTCCACAGCATTAAGTGTTAAGTGGGCTACTAAAAGATCCAGATCCCTATATGTTATCTAGTCTGTCATTTACCAGCACTTTAACCACATCTGACATTTTATTGTTAATACAGATGTTATTAAGCATCAGCTTCGCCCTCTTCACTCAACTGAGCAGGACCTTAACCGCAGCTTAAATTTGGAAGATCGCAGCTCTGCTCCAGGGCTAGCGTGACGGTTTGGAGAGTTGTTTCATAGCCTGTAATAGCAAGGGCTAAAACAATGGTTAACCAGCTACCCAGGACCCCTTTTTGTATGATTGTATGACATCAAACACTCTCCATGCAATCTGCTCAGTGGCTAGTCTGAAGAGGGAAGAGTTAATTGATGACTTACTGTACCATGACCTACATCCTCACACGAGGATCAATCATGGGAATTTTTCAAGAACGGTCAAGTCAAACATGTACACACTGTTTATATACGTTTTATGACAACTGTTTGCCCTCCATGATTACCAAACTTGCACAAAGCGTTGTAATTTTAGTCTTCAACAAGCGCCTATAGGTATCTATGGAGGACCTGATCAGAATTAGCAATGGTTCAGTTTGCTTAATATGTCACTGCTGATATACTATGTGGATTTCCTATGTAACGCCTGTAAAGATGAAAGATGCAGATTGAAATATAGCATTAATATTGTGTATGTTGTTAAAGAATAAGTGCACAGTTGTGGTGAGATTAAAAACAAACTATTTTGTTGCTCTTCATAGCCAACGTCATCAGTCCTAAGAAAAATACTAAACGCGTGTCTTCTGCGAATTATCTGAAAGCGGGTACAATGCCCAAGAATAAATGGAAAGAAAGATGTACTATACTATGTGTTGTATAGAAATCCCTACCATCCCTTTAGACGTCCGTGCACCCCTGCTGATCCCAGACTGTGTGACAGAGCTAATCAAAGCAGCATGCACATAACCAGGGATCTTGGGATGTATTGTTTGATTTGTCTGTATGCAGAAATCCTGTTATGTAAGGAGGACTTTTCAGAAGAAAGGTGAAGAGATAAAGGACATTACATTTGCCAACCTGCTGGTTTTACCTGAATACATTAATGTGTATCTAAACACAAAATAAATGTAATGTGCTACAGCTTACCCATAATTAGATGTAGCTGAGTTTATTTTTGTTTTTTTTCTTTTTTTCCATTTAGTAAACTTTGAAAGTAACTCACTTCTTGTTTTCACTAATTTTCTGTTCTATCTATAGTCATAGCCATGGTTGTATCAGAGACTTCAAACATGTCTGCCTTTGTTTCATTCACAGTGGCTTGATGGGACTAGTAGTTTACACTAAATATAAGGTTCGTTGTGCTTTCTTTTAAGGTCAAAGAAAGTGACAAGGACACTGCAATTTTGGCAGGATCAACTGGTACTTCTGTACTTGCTGAAAATGGTCTTAGCCTGAAAAATGAAAACTAATGCAGACATATAGTACCTAAGGGGACTGGTAAGCTGCAAAATATTACATTTTTGTTGTTGAATTTAGATACGCTTTAGGAATCTGAGAATCTGTCCGAACAGAAATGTGGGAGCTGCTGTTGTGAACTTGGTTTTGAAGTTACTAATGCAGGCCATAGACGGTTCGTTTATTGGCCGATTTTTTTTTTTTGTCCGAAAAATGAAACATCGATCATTCTGTAAACTGATATTGCCACCAATGATTGTGAAAATCGGCCGTTTTTCACAAATTTTCCAGCATGACCAATAAACGAAATGAGGAACCGTGAAAATCGTCCGATGCCATTGCCCCACTAACAGTGCGAAAATCGACCAATTATTCTTTCGGATGAAAAATCGGCCGCATAAACGAACCGTCTATGGCCTGCAATAGTCATCCTAACCTCTGCTTCACTGTTTTGTAGGTTGCTGACCCATAACAAACATATATCAGATGCCCCCACACCTGATATGCATTTGTATGTTGCAGGTGATTGATTCCCCGAGTAGTGAAGGAAGGATACAGCTGTCAGCCCAACATCATGTGGCTTCAAAACCAAATCTGAAAATTCTGAGAAAAATCTGGGAATATTTTTTTCCTGACTGGCTTCTTTAAAAGGGAGCTAAGGTGTTTTAAAGGTGCACTTATTCTTTAACATTACACCTGCTTGGTGATAATTTATATAAAACACCCGTTTAAAACCCAATCAGCATTTGTGTTTGATTTGATTTTATGTTTGATTGGCTTGGTTTGTAATTGTTGGTCATCCAGTGGCCTTGCTACTCGACAATAAGCAGTACTATAGGTGAGATGTAGAAGAGAGATCTGGTACATAGTAAGCCAGTCCTTAACTGGACAAAAGGGTAACTGTCTCTAAAATACAGATGACATTTCTTCCTAAGCATTGGAGCCCTAGAAGTGTTTTTAAAGGTAAGTTATTTAAAAAAAAAAAAAAACAAACATGGTATACTTACCTGCTCTGGGCAGTGGCTTTGCCAAACCTATGTGGTTTACAGCCAAAGTTAAAAAAGCTATAAATAAGAAAAGAGCTTTTATTAAATATAAAAATGAAGGAACGGTATCATTGTTTAAACATTACAAAGAATATCACAGAATATGCAAAAAAGGAAATCAAGGCTGCAAAAATTGAAAATGAACAACAGATTGCAAAAGATAGCAGGACAAACCCCCAAAAATTATTCAAATATATTCATAGTAAAAAGGTCCGGTCCGAGCATGTAGGCCCTTTACAAAATAATCTAGAGTGGGTGACTGGGGACAAAGAGAAGGCAAATTTATGAAATACCTTCTTCAGCTCTGTGTATACAAAGGAGCATGGGGGAGCTCCTGTCCATAATGGGCATGGTATTGACACAGCTCCACAATGGCTCACCATTGATATGATCCAAAAATATTTAGATAGAATAAATGGACCGGATGGCATACACCCATGGGTCCTTAAAGAATTGAGCGCTGTCATTTCAAAGCCATTATTTCTAATTTTTAGGGACTCTTTAATGACTGGCATAGTACCACTGGATTGGCATAAGACCAATGTGGTGCCAATATTTGAAAAAGGGGTCAAAATCTTTACCAAGTAATTTTAGACCTGTTAGTTTAACTTCTATAGTTGGGAAGATACTGGAGAGCTTAATACAAGATGAGATCTTGCTGGAAAAAAAATATTTTAAGCAACAGACAGCATGGATTCATGACAGACAGAAGTTGTCAAACAAATCTGATTTCTTTTTATGAGGAGGCGAGCAAAACCTTGGACAGAGGGGTGGTGGTGGATGTGGTATACTTGGATTTTACAAAAGCGTTTGACACAGTTCCCCACACATGGCTGATGTGTAAGGTAAAGTCTACAGGCTTGGAAAAATCCATATGTAAATGGACAGAAAACTGGCTAAAAGATCATATTCAGAGAGTAGTGGTTAATGATTCATACTCTGAATGGTCTAGGGTTGTCAGTGGTGTACCCAAGGTTCAGTGTTGGGACCCTGACTTTTTAATATATTTATAAACGATATAGGGTCTGAGATTATAAATCCCATTTCAGTCTTTGCAGATGACACCAAGCTGTGCACTGGAATAACGTCCTTACAGGATGTCTCCAATTTACAAGCCAGCCTCAATGCACTGTTTAATTGGGCAACTATGTGGCAAATGAGGTTTAATGTTGATAAATGTAAGGTTATGCACTTGGGGGCTAAGAATATGCATGCATCATACATACTAGGGGGAGTACAACTGGGGGAGTCAATGGTGGAGAAGGATCTGGGAGTTCTGGTAGATCACAAGCTTAATAAAGGCATGCAATGCCAAGCTGCGGTTTCTAAAGCGAGCAAAATCCTGTCTTGTATTAAAAGAGGTATAGACACCAGAGAGATAGAGATATATTACTCCAGTACAAATCATTAGTAAGACCTCATCTGGAATATGCAGTTCAGTTTTGGGCACCAATTCACAAAAAGAACACTGGGGAACTGGAGAACGTGCAGAAAAGGGCAACCAAACTGATAAGAGGCATGGAGGAGATCAGCTATGAGGAAAGATTAGAGGAACTGAATTTATTCTCTCTTGAGGAGACGAGATTAAGGGGGGATATGATCATCATGTATAAATACATCAGTGGTCCATACAGTGAACTTGGTGTAAGATTACTCACTTTGAGGTCATTACAGAAGTCAAGGGGGCACTCTTTACGTCTGGAGGAAAAGAGATTTAATGTCAAAATATGGAAAGGCTTCCTCACAGTAAGAACTATGAAAATGTGGAATAGACTCCCTCAGGAGCTGGTTAGGGCCATTTTAGTAGATTAAATGAAATATAATGCTGTTGCACTTAGGAATAGATATTCATGCAACTTTGATAAGTATACGCTGCAGTCCTTATATGTGAACCAATAACACAAAAACAAACAAAATACCGTGTGGACCGCGTATAAATTAAGTGCATTAAATTTGACATGAGTAATATTGCTTCACATATACAAAGTTAATAATTGTAACATTCAGTCCCAATTTGAAAAAATAAAGTGCCAAGGTGTTGAATACTAATTGGTAAACTTTGTGCAAAAATGACAGATGCTCCTCTGTGCTCAATCCTATTAAAAAAAGGATACCCCAAACACAGTGTATCCAACCATTTTAGAGTGGCACATAATAAGGACCCTTCCTACCTTTC